GAACTGACCAGTCTGGGCCTGGTGCTTTCCTTTCTGTGAAGTCATTGTGGATGACGTTTCTTTTGATTCGGGCACGTTAGATTATCTTTCTCCTCGTGTGCATTTTGGTAGATTGTCTTTCAAGGAATTGGTCCATTTCATCTACGTTACCGTATTTGTGAGGAAAGGGAGTTCAGAATATTCCCTTACTCTTCCAATACCCGTGGGATAAGGAGTGGCTTCTTTTTTCTCGGAGAGCCACTGCTTGATGCTACAGACTGTGGCCTTCTGGGAGGCTACCCTCTACGGAAGTTTCCAGATGTTGCTGAGAAATCCATCTCAGGTCTGCATTCCTGACCTTCCGCTCTGCTGGCTCTCTTCACTGCACTTGATGCTGTGTTAACAGAAGAGGAGAAACAAGGCCAGGAGGCCCACCTTTGGAGAGATACAACGAACTACAGAAGTCCTTTCCTAAACTCTCAAGAGTACCTGTTTAGATGTTCTAGACGACCTAGAAGAAAGGAGCTGTGGAGCCTTTCTCACTTCAGCTTAAGCCATCTTCACAGCAGGAGAGCCAGGTCTCCTGAGACTTGAGCATAAAGCAGAGGACTAATGCCAACATCGTGCTGCACAGCACGGAAGTCAGCATTCCCGGAAAACTAGGGGGAAGGACACTGTGAAAGGTCTGAGTACAGAAATCCCAAACAAATTAGACACGAAGACCGAACTACAAGACAATCCGTGATTTATGGCTTTACTATTTGGGTGTGCAGTGAAGCTGGAATACCCGGGGTTAATGGATTTTTTGTGACAATTTTGTAAAAAAAAAAAAAAAAAGAATACAAATTGAACACTGGGGCTGATTCAACAGCCCATTTCATACACAACCCTCAATTTCAAAATGCGAACGAATACTTTGGAGCTTGGGTACAGAAAATGGGACTAGTCGTAATGTTTGGTTCATGACACTCTGCACTGGTTCACACGCGGTGTGCCTTCAGTGATGTCCTGCGTAAGCTTCCCGAACGGACTTATTCTCGGGGCGCACCAGGAAGGCTCTGTCGACTAAGCGTCTGACTCTTGATTTCGTCTCAGGGTCGTGAGTTCAAGCCCCACACTGGGCTCTACACTGGGCACGGAGCCTACTTAAAACAAAGAAAAGGGGACTGACTTACTTTCAAGAGTTGGGGGGCTTGGCCACACGGCACACCCCCCGTCTCCGCCCTTGTAAGCGTGCCATCCTTAATTTTCTCTTCATCACTTCATCTAAACCACAGGTATAGGACTTGCAAGTCAGTCTGTCTTACTAGAATTTGTACAGGTGAGCGTGTTGTAGGTTTTGACTTTTTTGCTCGCTACACCTCTAAGGCTCTTACACCGTGCCTTCTGTCTTGTTGTGTCACTCGGGATCACGAGCTCTGATTACCGTACGATAGTCTACTGTAAGATTATACTGTATCTTATTTATCCATCCCTCAGGGGGACTTGGGTGGTTCTGAGTTTTCACGTTCTGTGAACAGTGCCATGAAAATTCTTGTTTGTGTCTCCTTGTTATCTTTGTGCAAGTTTTTCTGGGGTTACATTCAGGACTGGGGTTTCTAGATTATAGGATGTGTGAAAGTCCAACTTTAAAGGAATACCAGGGGCGCCTGGTTGGTTCAGTGAGAAGGGCAGTGACTCTTGGGCACAGAGATTACTTAATAAAAACGTCAAAAAAAAAATTAAAAACACAAGGTAACGCCAAATCTTCTAAAGAATTAACCCCCTGTGACTAATACCAGCAGCCTGCCAGAAGTTCTGCGGGATCCCTCCCACAGCACGTACCGTCAGATTTTTAAATTTTGCCAACTGAGTGGGTATAAAATGGTATCTCACCGTGGTATTGATTTGCATTGTAATTTCTCCCAATTTGTAACAAACCTTTTCTTTCTCTGAAGATGCTTTAAATAATGTATTAGTGCATAAAACACCCCATTTTTCTTTTAAAAATTGAAACAGCTGGCGCACGATGCTGTGTTAGTTCCAGGCGTGCACCGTGTGACCGGACACTTACGCGCATCCAGAGGGCTCCCCACCACGACGGAGCGCTGTGGCCGTCGGCCATCAGAGCGACCACGGTGTGACGGTGCTTCCTATGCTCTGCTTTTCACTGTACTTACTTGTAAGTGGAAGCTTGTACCTTTGTCCCGATCACCGACTTCACCCATCTCCCCTCTGGAAGCCACCAGCTTGCTGTCTGTAGTTGATGTCTGTTTCTGTTTTATTTGTTCATTTTTTTTGCTCCAGTGAGTAAAATCATACGGTATTTACCCTTCACTTATTCCACTGAGCAAAATAACCTCTAGGTCCACCCGTGTTGTTGCAAAGGGCAGCATTTCCTCCTTTTTTCTTAGGACTAATATCCCACTGCGCACATATACACACCACATCTTCATCTGTTCATCTACCGATGGCCACTTAGGTTGCTTCCGTGTTACACTGTTACACTGTAGATAATGCTACAATAAACAATGATGCTGCTTTTTTCTTTCGGAATTAGCTTTCATTTTCCTTAAGTGAGTAACTCCGAAGTGTAACGGTTGAACCATATGGTATTCTCATCTCTGAGGACCCTCCGTACTGTTTCCCGCAGCGGCCGCACCAGTCTGTGTTCCCACCAGATGGGCATGAGGGACCACATCCTCGCCAACACTTGTGAGTTCTTGTGTTTATTTCAGCCATTCTGGCAGGTGGGAGGTGGTCTCTCGGGTGGTTTTGACCTGCATTTCCCTGATGAGGGATGCGCAGCATCTTCTTACGTGTCTGGGAGCATCTGTAGGTCTTCTTCGGAAAAGTGTCTACTCAGGTCTTCTGCCTACTTTTTAAATCAGATTTTTTTGGTGTTGAATTCCCATTCAGAAGATTGCCTTTTCATTTTGTTGATAGTTTCCCTCACTGTGTGAAAGCTTTTTAGTTTGATGAAGTCCCAATTGTTTGTGTGTTTCTTGCGCTTGCTTTGTCAGAGTATAGTTTAAGATATTTTGGGACTCTTTGGGGGCTCCAGAGTTTAGGATCACTTACTCTGATTCTGTGAAAAATGCTATTGACATATCAACAGAGATTGCATTAAATCTGCAGATTGCTTTGGGTAGGATGGACATTTTAGCAATATTATTTCTTTAAGTCCATGAGCTCCGAGTATCTTTCCACTCATTTGCATCACCTTCCATTTCTTCCACCAATGTCTTCTGAGTACAGGGCTTTCACCTGCTTGGTTTAATATTTTCCTAGGTATAAAATACTTCATTTTAATACCTAATTTATCAGTAACACTTCCAGTTAATGCTTTGTGTCTTAAGTAGGACCCTATCTCAAGGTCAAAGTAGATCTTTACCTCCCCCCCCCCAAGTTTGAAAATTTTGTGTCACATTTAAGCCACTAACTTCCTCGGACATGAGAAAAGAGTTAATTTTCACCCTTTCTCATATAGATAACCAGTTGTTCCAGCTCTAATTATCAAATTAACTTTCCCCAATGTGACAAGCCACCTCTTACTCCGAAGTCCAGTCCACGTGTGCCTTTTCTGGACCATCTGCTCTACCCCACTGGGAAATGTGAACACCCCTTAGCTAATACCAAGCTCTTAATTGACATGGCTTCATGTGATCGAGTCCCAGCATCTGCCTGGACAAGTGCCACCTCCCTGCCCTTTCTTTTCCAAAACACCCTAAGCCTTTGCTACCTTTTACCTTATACTTTGTAATTGCTTAAACGAGTTCCAGGAGAAAACCTGGTGGGATTTTGACTGGAATGCTTTTCATCTGTAGGTCTATCTGGGCACAGATGACCTCGTTCTATTGTCTTCCTAGCCATTAACATGCCTCTCTCCCCGTTTACTGAGGTATTAGTTATCGTCTCTTGATAACGCTCTAGAATTTTTTCTTAAAGAGCCCTTCAACATGTATTGTTAATCTCCCAGGTGCCTGGGGTCAGTACCACCGTGAAAGGTGCCTTTTGGTTTTCTAGTTATTACCACTGTAAGGAATGCACCTGGTTTCTCCAAGCTAATGGCATATCTAGCTGCGTGACCACACCCTTTATTTTTAGTACTCTGTCCAGCTTTGTTTGGATTTTCTCTAAGAACCAACACCTAACATGCAAATATTAAGTGTTTCCTCCTTTCTCCTTCTTAGGACTTTCTGTTTTGACTTACTCTATTGAACACAGGATCTCCAACTCAATTTCGAATGCAAGCAGGGGACAGCAGGCAACATTTTTTTCTGACTTTAAAATGGAATGAATTTCCTCTTTTTGGAAGATGCTTGGTTTTCATTTGTTTGTTTGGTTTTGCATAGAAGCTATCAGCTTCCAGAAATTCCTCTGTAGTTCTCATTTATCAGGAGTTCTCATCATGAATTGGTGTTAAATTCTATTAAATACTTAACCTGAAGCTGTTGGGCTAGTGAGAACAGTTTTCTCTTTTTAATCTGTTCATGTAACAAATTAACAGATTACATTTAAATAGATTACATTATAGATTATCATGCTAAGCCATCATTACATACTAAGATAAAACTTACAAGTAAAGTCGTGGTATAGAAATTTGTACTGCTTTTCACCTGTTTTATGTTTCATGCTTAAAAAAAAAAAAAAAAGACTGGCTGCCAGATAAGTTTGAAAACAATAGGACCAATGGTCTTTCTCATCTGCAATCCTCTAGCTGCCATGTTTGAATTATGCCCTTTCAGTTTCTCTAATTCTACCAAAAAAAGGAGCTCCTAGGCAGATGCTAACTCAGCGTGACAGGGTGTAGAACAGAGCTAGAGGATTCGGTATCTGTATGACAAAGAGCGGTTCTTGGTGTTAAATGCTGACACCTTCAACTCCATGGAATCTAAGCTTACAATTCATTATCAGAAGACCAGTCACAAACTGATATGCGAACAGCAGCAGGACCTGCACAAAATTAATAAAGTAGAAAACAAAAGGACCAAAAGTCAAAATGAACTACTGGAAAGAACAGAGAAAAAGTAACACAAGGGAACGTTACGGTTTTCCATTTTATTTAATCAAAGACTGGTGGGTAAACATAAATACAGCACAATTACTTCAAATCATTCTTCACACCGTGTACACACAGACCGGTGAGCGTAATCCGAAAGAAACCCGCAGTCGGCAATGAAATGCACACAGCTTTTCCTTCCCTCGCTCAAAAAAAATTAAAAACACACAAACTTAGAATCTCATCAGCACACACTCTCTTGTGACAAATGATTCAGACATAAATAGTGGGTGCAAAGAAACTATATGCTAACGTATGTAGAACTTTTGTTAATGAAAACCCAGAAGCAGCCGTAAGGATGAAGATACATTCCGTGACTGGTAACTAGCCGGGCCCTGAGGGGCGCCGTCGCCAGGGATCGTGCTGCAGAGAAAAGCTATGGACACACACAATGGAAAATAAACTGCGAGATCAACGCATGCGTGTTTAATACTGGAAAAATCACGGCCCTCCAAAATTTCTCCACGTTTGTTATAAAAGCCCTCTGCACTCAACGAAAATTAAAATGATCTTAAAAGGATAATACTTGTAAAGTTTACTTAAGTCTTTTCAGCCACAGAAACTGCAATGGAAATAAATGTTCAGAGTCATTTTCAAAACAAAAACAAAAATCTATTCTTCTGGCGACATGCATGATTAAAAGGTCTATGCAAGTACGTTGCTCTACATTCCCAAGGACTAGGAAAAAAAACCTCAAGTCAATTTTTAGTTTGCAGATGGTCAAAGGCTTTTGTATTCCAGCAGGAGTTCAAATCTTCTGGATCTTTTCACCAACAACTACTGGATTTTCTTTTCTGATTTTCTCAGCAGCGTCAGCTTTGTAATTGTAAGAGCAATTGTGTACATCGGAGTAACGGTGTACACCACAGTAAACATTTCCACACCGGCATTCAAACCCTGAAAATGGATCAGTACACACAGGTGAGTTGCATGGAAGGTCTAAGTGGTAAGCTCCTTAGCATATTAATGATAAAATCTATCATGTTTAGGGCAGCCATCTAAAGAACCATTCCAGACAGTTTCAGGACTCACTGGCTGATAGCTTCCTTTCTTACTCCTTATCTACAAACAGAGTCTGTCCCACAGCAGAGCCTCGCCGCTTCTCTTAAGCTCGGCCTCCTGACTGCGACGTGGCCACAGTTACACTTCCTGCCAAAATCAGGACTGCTACGTGGGATGGAAGATAGCTCTCAAATCACATTCTAAATGTGAAAATAAGCACATTGTCAGAAGGCAACCTTAAGAAAGGTGTAACGAGACTTCTGGCAGAACTGTTAAGGGAGAGCACAGCATCGACCCCGGCTTCCCGGGCAGACTCCAGAGTAGAGGCCACCCGGCTGCTGCGGGCTGGGTAAGGGCAGGCTCTGGAGTCAGGCGCCTCCGTGCGAAGCCGCCTCCTAATGCAGGTGACTTGCTTAGCTTCTCTGAACCTCAGCTTCTGCAGCTGTAGTTCTGGAATAATAATTTACTGTACGGATTAAATGACGAATGTGTTAAGTGCTTAACATTTAGTAAACATGCAATAAACGCTATTTATTTTAGGGAAATGCCCAAAGAGTTGAAGCTAAAAGGGAAAAGGGGAGGGGGGAGGAGAGAGAGAGAGTAGATAGTCCTTATCAAACCAGTCCTGCTTCCCAGAACTCAGATTGTAGGACAGGATGGAACCCTTGGAAACGGAGCAGAGGAATCAGTATGGCGCACGCTGACACCTGATGGGGGCGTCCTCGACCACAGCCCACTCTTGCGTCAGGGACATCTCCTGTCACCTCACGCCAAGGAGTGGAAACTGAAGCCGACCGCGGCAGCAGGTGGACAGGCCGGACAGACGGGACTTACTGCGTCTCAGCCTCCCATCATGAAGTCAGAGTTCCCGAGATGTCCTCGGGCCACACTGATACTAAATACGCGTATTCTACAACACTGACTCGTCCCCGCTTGTGTCCTTTAAGTGAACCCATCTGCCAAAGTATGGGCCAGTCGTCAACACCTTGGATACCAGACCGCACTCCCCTTTCCGCCCTCTCTACAACCTGTTCCTTGGCCGGAGAAACCTTCCTGAGATCCTGAAACTCCCGTCTACTCTTCCCAGCTCCGAGGGCAAATTCCTGGGGAGTACTCGGTGCGACACCGGGCACGAGCAAGTAATACGCGGGAACCCTCTCCGGCTGCACCCGCTCCCGTGGGGGGCACAGCCCTCGCCAGCGGCCTCCCGTCTTCCAGGCCGTGCGCCACAGCCGCCCTCCCCGGCCCGGGCCCCTCAACGTGCCCCGTCCCTTCCTTTCTCCCACACTTGGTTCAAGCTAGTCTTTCTGCCTCAAGTGGCCCCGCTTCCGCCTGCTGCGAGTCCTGCTCAGCTCTCGAGACCCGGCTGAGCCACGCCGCCTCCACGCCACTCTCCCTGCCGGGCCTCTCCTCCCCTTCCGCCACGTGACTCAGGACAGCTGTCCCTGACCTGCCGAAGTGACCCACCGGCCGCACTCAACCTGCTTCGGCTGCCGAAGACCCAAACGACACTTCAAATAGGTCTTCTTCCTCTCCCCATGGCGATACCGTCTCACGGCTGTGTTGCAGCCGCACCACGGTGCGGGGCTGACGCCTCACAAGGGCTGACGCGCAGGGCCCCCATGAGCGCCACCAGCGCCACCTCGAGTCGCTGTGCACTGAGAAAGCACCCCCTGCCACTGCCCTCGCTCCCCAACTCTGGCTCCGCCAGGCAGGAGCCACGCAATTCGGCGCCCGGCACCGTGACCCGCCCTAAGGCTCGCAAACCCGGGGCTATGAATTTTTGAAAGAAAATCTATTCATTTTACTTTCAGGTACGTAACTAAAAGCTACTTTATTTAAGAAAATTCAGAAGCTGAATTTTTATTTATTTTATATATATTTATTATTTATATATGAAATATATATATATAATATATATTATTTATATATAAAATAAATAAAATATTTATCTTATATATAAAATAATTCCAGTATTAGCCCTCGTGGAACAAAAATGATCTCCACCGAAGCCAGGAACAGTAAGCCATGCGTTATTTTAACACACTATCAAGTTTAAACCAGGATTTAGGCCCTTACCAGTAAGTCCCACTTTCTTCCTGCACATGAAACAGCGATTCTTTTTTTGTTTTGGTTTTTCAAGAGAATTGCTTTGCTCTTCAGACGGCTGCTGAGCTGCATCTGATGCCGAAGCTGACAAAAACAGGAAAGTGGTAAAATTTAATTATTCAGGAAGATTTTAATACTGGCGGTGGCTGTCCCCCCACCCACCCTCAGGGATCTGTTACTGTGAGGACAGCTGAGGAATCTGTTAGCATGGAAAGATGCTCACACAGTTACAAGGTAGAATACACAATACTACACCCTTTTCATTCAATGTATGTACCTACGTTAGGTATCTGGGCGTGCACACGTGCGCACGCGCACACACACACACACACACACACACGCACAGGAAATCTAGAATACATACCGGTATGTTAACAGGGACTCTAGAGATCTAGCGCTGTATTCCCTCTTTTTTCTAGTAATCATGTATCTGACCCCCACGCAAATACTAGCTGGGTATTCTAAGGGAGCGCCTAAGAAAATGGCCACACGCCAACTCTGAAATATTGCTGGGGTCAGAACTATGTCAATTTCTCAGAGAACAAGGACAAAAAGAGCTGAAACCAAGATTAGGTGGAATACTATGTTTAAAATTCTCAGAATGTTTCACATAAAACCTTAATATGTTAGGAAGATAATTTTATTACAATGTTTTAATTAGGATAAATCGACGCATGTTAGTAGCAAAGTCAAGGCCACCTGCAATGAGATCCAGTCAGATCGCCATGCCTGCATCCGAACCAACGTGAACCCTCCTGTCCCTGGATGCTGTCCCCAGAGTCAGAGTCTGTCACATGACCCAGCACGCACACATGACACCTCGCTCTAAAGCAGTGACTACCACAGCCAAGCTGTCCCCCTCTCGGGGTTTCTCAGTGTCTGGTCCTGGAGGATTCTTGCTCAACCACTGCAGAGCCGGCCTCTGCCAGCCCCGTCTACAGCCCATCCGAAGCACACCGAGGCGTCTTATCGCTGAGCTCCTGCCAACAGCCTTTCTGTGCGGAATGCTCTCCACGCTCCTCCTGTCCCTCTTTCCCTGGCTTACCCGCACTGGTCTTTCCTGTTCAAGCTCACACCATCCACTCTCACTCCATCCTCCACCCACCAACTTAGAACAGGAACCTTCCCATGCGCCCCACTAGTAGTGCCCTCATGACGGTAACGGCCTCCTGGTCTTCACCCAGCTGAGCAGTGAGCTCCTCCAGGGCAGGCCGTGTCCTCTCCACTCCTGCTACAGCGCCTGTCCTCGCACCCCTGACCACAGGGGCCGGCATGCCACAGAACCCACTCAGCTGCCCTCCTTCAGCGCTCACGCACTGTGGCTGGGTGTAGTCACGGGCCCCACGGAAGCCGTGGATCTGGCCTCCCGTGTAAATCTGCAGCACCCACCACCGTGAACTGTACACAGCACATGCTCAAGCATTTGGTGGAATGGATTCCAACCTGCTTCTGTTAACTACATTACCTCCCATCATAGCAGAATATGACAGAGAAAAAACCACAAACTACCAAGGAAATATGCACGAATGAACAACTCTGTATGACTCGTCACTCCACCTAGAAATTCTGACAAGTTTTTTTTTTTTTTTTTAAGATTTTATTTATTTATTTCACAGACAGAGATCACAAGTAGGCAGAGAGGCAGGCAGAGAGAGGGGGAAGCAGGCTCCCTGCCAACAGAGAGCCCAATGCGGGGCTTGATCCCAGGACCCTGGGATCATGACCTGAGCCGAAGGCAGACGCTGTAACCCACTGAGCCACCCAGGCGCCCTCCACCTAGAAATTCTGAAACCAGATGGGAGCCTGCTGTGCTAATACAAACATTTTATAAACACTTTAAACAGATTATGGACACATAAAACCTTTTATTATTAATAAATAAATATCAGAATGTGAACTCGATGATGGTAGGGGCTGAATGTCTAGCTTACTTGGGTTATCCACAGCCCCTAGAACAGTGTCAAATAACATTCTGCCGTGTGTAAGGGGCTCAAACATAGTGTAACTTGCCATCAGAAAAGAATCTCTTAATTGTCTTCAAAATCTGTAAGCCGTAACATCTAACTGTTCTCCCAAGAAACTGTGATGTTCATATAAGCTTATATGAACAACAGCACTACTCCAAGAAAACTGTGTCTTAACTAAACCGGGTGAATTACTGAGGCACAAACTTTGGAATCCGGAAAGGGACGAGAGTGAAAATAAGTTTCCCTGCCACACACACACGCACGCACATACACGCGCGCACGCACTCCCACGTACACAAGTCTCAGCCCTAATGGTCCACCCACAGCAGATGCGCAGCTGTAAAGTTAAGGACCCACAGGCAGCCCGAGAGCTTGCGAGCGAGAGCTATGAGCGAGGGCTAGCATCTGAGACTGACCATTGTTCTCTAACGCTCCCATGAAACTAAGTCCTCTAACACTCCCATGAGACTAAGGTGACCTTCGCTTGCCTCAAACTACTGACTGCCAGCCTGAATTTAAACATTCACCAAATCAGTTCATGGGCAAGATGATCTAGAATTGTGTAAAGGCCTAGGATTCCCAGAAATTACCCATTTCCTTATATATGAGATTTAAGACCAAAGCATGCCTTTCCAACTCTTAATTATGCAAAAGGAAACAATTCCATCTCTAAAGGGGCCATAAACATACTGAACCTGAAGCCAAAATAAGAACCATCCTCAGAACTAGGCAGTTTCTCACAGTGTGACAGGAGCACTGGACACAAGGTCAGCTGCTTGATAATGCCTGAGAACAGGCGGCAGCCTACTCTCTATCCGCTGGTCCTCAAGGTCTGTGGGTTTGGGAGGCCTAGGCACGAAGGCCGGGAAGTAAACTTGATTTTCCATGGGAATCCAAAGAGACAAAGTCTACTGGCCCGTAATTTTAAGATACTTCACCAACCCTCTGCTCTAGGCCCTGCTAAAAAAATACAAAAATATAACAGGAAGCACATAAACTACTCAGCATTAACTCTGTCTGGAAGCGTATTAATACACACGATGAATACTGACAGGCGACCCAGGAGGCATCGGTGGCAGACACGGCCCCCACGTAACGTAGCGCGCACGTCTTTCTCACACAGCAGGACCAGTCCTCCCACAAGCCCCTCGGGGGTCAGACGAAGCTCAGTGCTCGGGGCTTCTGCTCACCACTTAGACCCACTGCGGACATGGCCCAGCCCTCCAGCAGACTGGAGGGACACGTCCTCTTCCCGCGACACCGGGAGGACACTCCTCCTCCCCCTCCTCTGCACGTCATTTATGCAACATGAGGGGTTGAACCCAATGATCGTTAAGTGACTCCTAGCTCAAAAATTCTTTGCCAAATGAGAACACTTGAAATATTCAAGGGAAAGTAAGGCTTATAGTACGGCAGGGTCTAAAAACATAGACCAAGCCATAGATTTAAAGTTCTATTTTCCAGCCACTGTGTTAAAAAGTATAAAAGGGCAAAGTTAATACATATTACCATTTAAAATGTAATCAGTATTTAAAGATGAGGTTATTTCTCATCTTTCTGACACTCTTGGAAACCTACGTATACGTTGCACGACTAGCGAACAGACATGCACTGCACTAATTCCAGCCCAGCCACATGCGAATGCTCCAGGCTACCCCAGACCAGCGGCCACCTTTCTGGGCAAAGCAGCTCTGTGCAGGAGAGCACTGTCTATCAGCAGCTATCTGGGGCGAAGAAGTGTCCCATTAAACTTCTTAAAACGCAACTCTGTGTTATCTTAAAAAAAAAACCACACAAAAAAACAAACAAAAAACAAAAGCAGCCGGCCTCCACAAGGCTCTTTCCCCCGTCGATTAGAACCCAGTACCTCAGGAATCTTCCAGGACTTCCTTTAAACAACCTTCTCGGCTTCTGCTCCAACACAGCCTTGCTGAACCGGCCCCTCCAGCAAGTGCGGCTGCCCCGAGGGCACCGTGTGCCCGCTGAGAGCCGGCAGACAGCCCTCTTCGCCGCACCTGCCTCCCGTATAAATGAACCACATGCCCTGTGGCCTCTGTGCCTGGCTTCTTCTCCTCTGCGTGTTTCCCAAGTTCAGCCCTGCTGTGGCAGGTATCAGAGCTTCGACTCCTCTCTGGCTGAGGAATGCTTCAGGGTATGGACAGCCCACATCTATCCAGTCATTGCCGCTGGCCATCCGGGTCGTTTCCATGCCTTGCTAACTACGAACAATGCTGCTGTGAACACCCCTACACACGTTTCTGCGTGGACACGTTTTCAGTCCCGCAGGAACTGGGAATGGAATTTCTGGGTCACAAGGGTGCCTCTCGGACTTTCTAAATTCAACGTGTAACTGTCACACTGTTTACCAAAGTGGCCGTACCACTGCACGTCCCCAACGACCATGTATTAGGGTTCTCATTTCTCCATACCCTTCACACTTGACCATGGCATATCTGCATCTATTCAAATCCTCTGCCCTTTAAAAAACTGGCCTATTATTGGATTATAACATTCTTTATATATTCCTATCAGATATATGATTTGCAAATATTTTTTCTCATTCTGTGGACCTTTTCATGGTCTTGATGGTGTCCTTTAAAGCAAACAGGTTTCAACATGTCTGTTTTCCTCTGGTTGCTCTGGGTGCTGCACCTCAGGAAGCACTGCCTGAGCCGAGGTCATGAAGACTTACGCCTGTTTCACTGAAATGTCTTACAGCTTTGGCTCCTGTAGTCTAGCATGCTGGGGCAAACCCAGTGTCACTCTTCACCCTCTAGCATCATCTGCTGGAGCCTGCTCCTCCCCTACTGGATGTGGTCAGTGCATGTGTTGCAAACCAACTGCCCGTGGTTGCCGGCTATTTCCGGACGCCGGGCCTGCCCCGGTCGGCAGGCGCGTCCTCATGCCCGCGCCCGCAGTCTCAGGTACTGGAGCCTGTGGGCAGCTTTGCAACTAGGAGCTGTTAGTCTTCCTGCGGCTCCGGTCTGCTTCTCCCAGGACTGTTTGGTTCTCCTCACCCAGCCTTCAGAACCAGAAGAAATCTTTGAGTTTTAGTCCAGACCGCTTTCTCAAACTAGTCTAACAGGACCGTTTCTCTTGACTGTTCCGAGCCATCAAGCTGCCGGCTCACCTCTGCGTGACGTCAGCATTCCTGAGCTGGAGCTAGAACGCACTCCCCGCGGCCCCTCGGGCGGCAAGCCCCGCCCACCGCTCCGACCGGAGCTCAGCGCTCCAGGTGGGCGCGCGGACCACGGGCCCACAGACCACGGGTGCACCGACCACGGGATCGGCGTCTCACCCGGCGCTACTGCTGGATGCTGCGCAAGCCCCAGGTCCCCGAAGCCTCCTGTAACCGCCACATCCCTGGGGCACTGTACGGACTAACAGCATCCGTCGTGTGCCTAAAACTCCCTTCACCTCCATCACTTCACTGACTTCCAGCACCCTGTAAGCTGGATGTGGCTGTTACTTCTCCTTTAAATTAATAAAAATACGGCTCAGAGAAGTGGGGGTGTCAACATATGAAAACAGAACCTCTGGGGCGCCTGGTGGCTCAGTCAGTGAAGCGTCTGCCTCCCGCTCAGGTCATAATCCCAGGGTCCTGGGATCGAGTCCTGTGTCGGGCTCCCTGCTCAGCAGGGAGGCTACTTCTCCCTCTCCTCCTCGCACATGCTATCGCTCTCCCTCAAATAAATAAATAAAATCTTAAAAAAACAAAAGAAAGAGAGAGGGAGGGAGGAAGGGAGAGAGGAAGAAAGAAAATAAAACCTCTGATCCAAGTTCCATTTCTTTTTACTAAGATTCAGGATCTCAGGCACTGAGAGGTTAACCAAAGCGAAGTACAATGTGCAGTAAGGCAATCAAGTATGATGGTGTAAAGTGCACCAAACACTTTAAAAAAAATTTTTTTTTTTTTTAAGATTTTATTTATTTGACAGAGAGATCACAAGAGGCAGAGACGCAGGTGGGGGCAGGGGGCGGGAGCAAGCTCCCTGCTAAGCAGAAAACCTGATGTGGGGCTCAATCCCAGGACCCTGGGACCATGACCTGAGCCGAAGGCAGAAGCTTTAAACCACTGAGCCATCCAGGCCCCCCTAAAAAATGTTTTTAAAACTAGATTTTGTGAACTGAAAATCCGATATTCCTAAGTGAGACTATGTGAGGTGTTGCTACTTGTTAAATTAAAAAGAATAGTTACAAGAGAAACATGCTGTAATAGGCTACCTTCTCATTCAAAGAGGAGAAAAATTCTTCAGAGTCACGAGGACAAATGAAAGCAGCACCAGCCCCCCCGGCGGCAACACAGCTTGCTCAGAAGCAGAACACCTACAGAGGCAGAAGCGGTTTCAAGGACACTCCTCTCAGAGCTCCAAGAAAGACTGTTAGGAAATGCTGGCGGAGACGCACGGCTGCGACTCACGAGCCCTCTCCTTCGGGATGATCTTCCCCTCTAAATCAGTTTCCCTGAGGGACGCGAATGGAGTAATACAGAATAAAGTAGATACCTGGCCAGTCACCAAACAGACGACCCTACCCTGGCAACGGCAGGAATGCACGTCCCAGTCTAGCGAGCACGACTGTCCGGGGAAAGAAGACTGGCCCACAGTCAGGTGCCTGGGTTCCAATTCCAGTGCAAAGGACCACAGCACTGGAGTCCAAGACTGCTTCTGTCGGTGTCTGTCCATTCATAAATAGATGGAAAAAATACCCTCTGCATTCGTTTCTATCCAACAGGGAAACCACAAGTACATTTACGTCACGAGTGTACACACACACACACACACACACACATTCACTCACCCCCTCCCCCCACCTCCCAGCTACTGAGAACTGGCTTTATGTCCCTTCACTTTTATGAAAAACCTACATTAGTACCTGTTTTTGTTAACAGAAAGATATCGGTCAAAGAGAATTCTCGCTTTTTTAATTGCTTCGTTACACCATTTTAGTTTACAAAACGTTTCACCAAAATGCTCTACTTTTGGATAGAAGGGAAACCTGTACTTGTGCATATGTTTATAATAAAAGAAAACATTCTTAATTCAACAGCGTAAGCAAGGCCTTTTTAAAAACAAGGCTATTAAGACATTTTATGCACTGAAAATGAATCCTCTCAAATTCAGATGAAACTTATACTGGATTTTTCAAAGATTCTGCAATGAATAACGAATAATGAATAATGAATGCTAAGTCTTTAAGAGGGTTTTAGTTTTTAAGAGGTATTTGTAAGCTAATACTGGTTTAACTTTAAAAGTCATTGAAATCAGGACGCCTGGGAGGCTCAGTGGGTTAAAGCCTCTGACTTCGGCTCAGGTCATGATCTCAGGGTCCTGGGATTGAGCCCCGCTTCAGGCTCTCTGCTCAGCAGGGAGCCTGCTTTCCACCCCTCCACCCCCTGGCCTTTGCCTGCCTCTCTGCCTACATGTGATCTCTGTCAAATAAATAAATAAAATCGTTTTTTTTTTTCTCTAAAGTCATTGAAACATACATGAAGAAAGGAGTCTGTAACTTTGAAAACCCTTTAACGATTTCTCATAATACACCTTCAAGCCCACCTTCTGCACTCCTATCCTCAGGGCTGGGCGCAGAACACTACACCCTGCTCGCCATACACCACAAATGGTATAAAAGCACTTCACAGTCATGGGTGAGCAACCTCTCTTCATCTGTCAGACGTGTACAGTAGCTGCTACCGTACACCTAAGCGGCACACATTTTGTTTACGACCAACATTCAAAGCTTTGTTCTACTGTGAGACATACCTTCATGATTAGCAGCCTGTTTTCCTTACTTAGCTCTCTTCCCAAACTGCTAAGCAACTCTTGCTTCTAGAAACTCTCCAACATGGGCACCTGTGGGCTGAGATTAACCAGGGCCCAGAAGCCGTCCTCCTTGGTTGACTCGTCCTCCGCCCTGCCCCTCCTCACTTTAGCACCTCACTTCTCAACGTATCAAGCACTTCCAAATCGCAGACATAGTATTCGTCACACATCTGAATACCCATTATTTACCAACAGCCTCCAGTGGAGCTAATTCTGAAATGTGATCCCGTCTAACTTGCGGTGTGCACATCCTGTCTGGCGACGCCACCTCGAGCCCCTGCCTAAAGCAGCTGGCCACCGCCGCCATCACAAAACCAAAAGCTTACCGCCCTTCTCCTACTTCCCACACCCCAGGGATAACTAAATCTTAGGGAGTTTTCCATTTCTGCCCTTTCTAAAATTTTTGTTTAATGAAAAAATAAAAAATTCTCACTTATACTATTTATTAATTTACAGTAATATGCTGTATGGAAGAGAATACTGATGTTGGCCAGTGTATTTTCTTGCTATAGCAAAACCTAATCATCTCTTGGGCATGAACGCCGAGCACGGGGAACTAGCCAGCTCAGTCACAATCAAACCTCAGCAACCTCAGCTAAGACTACCAGATACTCTGTCGCTACCATGTGAACACCATGTTCGAGGGACGGTCTCCCTGGCCCGGGTATAAGCCACCGTCTGGACATAAGCATGGGTTATCCACTCGCCTCCTCAATCTGTCTACCGCCTCTGCCCACGAGAAAGCCCTCCCGGATCGTTCTGACCCACACGATGGGGACGCAGAGCAGGGGCCAGAATAAGAGGTCCCATGCTGTGAGGACGAGAAACTGAACCTGATGGCTGCCCTCGCAGCCCCACCTGGGGGGAGAGGGATGACGGCCAGTCAAGTCCGTGTCTGACAACCTGAGTCCAAAGACAAGAGATGCCCCCTACGCTGCAGCCACAGCTGCTTGCAGAGAAGGAAGATTTAGGTTAAACTGGTAAAAGTAACAGTAGAAGAGAACAGGGTAATACCACTATCCACTCACTCAGTCCTCCAACTAAACACATTGACAATTCGCTACATTTACTTTGATGACACAATTACATATCAGCAGGAAGTGGCTCCCAACATTTCCGTCCATTAAATATTTGAAGATATGAAATATTCTGCTCATAAAGAAAATAAATTTTAAAATATTTTTGAGGCAGGCAACTTAAAAGAATCTACGCTCCGAGGACAGCGCCTGGCCTGGAAGCCCCGACCGCCAGTGAGCGACGGAAGTGAGTCGGCTCGTGTGCAAACCTTGCAGCTCTTCTGTGTCAGGTACGGCTGTGTCCACAGATGTACTGTCCGCTTGGGAAGATGCTACAGATTCTGATAAAAGTGACTGATTTGATACAGGGCTAGAAAAGCAAAAACACGCAGATTTACAAAGTGGTCTGCACGCAGGAACAGTAACTAGAGGCCGGAACAAGCACAGGGTCAGCCCGTGTAAGCACGTGGATACACGCGTGAGCGCGGAGGAGCCGGCGACTTCCGCATTAACCAGAGCGCCAGGAAACCAGAGACCGGTGTGCACCGAGGTCACGGCATCAGCAAGAGGAGCCACAGCGAGTGGTCTCTGTGCGCGGCTCCACCCCGGGAACGTCAGCGCGCGGGGCCCGGCTTCCACGCTGGAAGGGACGCGCTGGCGCAGCGGGCCGGGCGTCTCCCGTCACCGACTGGGGAAAGGGCTGGAGCAGAAACGTCATCCTCGCTTCCCAACAGCAGGGGACGAGCGAGGCAAGTATTTCTAGGTTTTCAGGCTTCTACACGGCAGGACCTCACAGCCAGAGCGGAACGCGAGGGCAGAGCCCTCGCCAGGGAGCGCAGAGCCGGGATGGGCCTGAGCCACAGCACGGCCCCCGCGGACACCGGCCCTGGACGGAGCCGGCGTCTGAAGTCAGGACTTCGGGGCGGGACGTGTCAGGAGGAGAAATAAAGGAAAGGCAGTCTCAAAAGAAAGGGGAACTTAAAAGACACCTTCCCGGCTCCTTCCCAAAGTGAACACAGGAAGCCTCTCCGGACTCGTCAGTGGGGAGACAGACACAGAGCTGGGCCGGCTGACCCTCCGGAGACTTGAGCCCCTCCTCCACGGCCCCGCGAGACCCAGCACGCGCCTCCTCCGCCGCCCGCCGCCCGCCCGCCGCTGGGAGCCCGCACCTTACCTTGGCTGCGCGGACGCACACGCGGAGTCCAGCGGGCACTGAGCGTCGGGGCCGCCGCCGTCCGCGCACTGGACGGGGAGAGGCTCCGAGAGGCTACTGACGGAGGCTGCTGCAACAGAACCACACCACGGTTAGGGACCCCGCGCTCCGGGCTTTCCCACGCCCGGTCTAAACCAGAGAACACCTACACGCGAGACAGAGCGGGCGAGTCGTGTTTACGATACCTGTGATATGCTGCTTCGCTACTTTCATTTACACATTTCCGGTAATTTTCCAGTGCAAGAAAACGTACTTGAAACCAAGAAAGCAAGCACATACGTACTGTAGGTAGTAATAAAGTCAGCTCGTGCTTCCCAGCACGGCGGGCCGCCCACGCCCCGGAAGCCGCACGCATCTGCGCACACCGTGCACAGAATATTTAGGACAAAATCCGGAGCAGGTAAGGCCAACCCAAGTTCGAAACTGAAATCTGTGCTCAGTACATTAGGTTATTCTTTTCCCTGTTCTTCGTAAGGCAGAAATGTAGATGGTGATTTAATTAAAAACAATTTATAGTCATTTGATTTTGGCCTTGAGAAAATTTGGAAAAATTGTGATTGAATGGTTCCAGCGTTTGGCTTGAACGCGAAGCGACAATGTGAAAGACCGCGTGCAGGATTTTACAGCGACTAAGCAACGGCCTTCACTGCTACACCTCTGAAGCCCACACTCAGAATCCTCCCCATCCTTCCAGTACAACCACGGACACAAAAACCCACTTCCACAACCCCCGAAGAATCCGCGGACACACAGAGCGCACCCAGAACGCAAGCGAGCCGGTGCGGAACACCCCTTTCTCTCAGTCGCACCGTGGCACCGCTCCTTCCTCCCAGTGTACAGTCCTCTCTCAAGTCCGCTGTGGCCACCTGTAACCCACGCTTTCCTTCTACAACTATCTTGGCTTCAAAAGTCACCCAAGATAAAATAACCAAGGTCCTCGTGAACACTCCCTCCCTTACAACTGACTCACCGGATACCTACATACACTCGGAGCAGGCCCGTGTTTTCCTAAGAGAACACAGTTCTGTCGGACAGCAAGTAAGGCTGTGGAATGGATTTGTTCTGCTTATTTCCAGTGGGCAAGGATAGCACTGATAGTGAAGACACGTAAGGAGGGAGTTTGCTGACACGAATGTGGTGACAGAAGCACAATGTGAGAGAAGGAAAAAGTATCTGGTGGATCGAGCCGCCAAAATCTAGGTCAGTGATGGATACTGCTGGGTTTTGACAGAATTACTTACCAGGTGGGCTTATTCTACCATTACTACTATTCTGTCTTTGAAGATGTTCTTTATAGCACACTGAACACATGCCATTTGTACGAGGGTTTCCATAAAATCCGCAGCCAGTGGAACAAAGCATAGGCACTTGGCTGTGATTAGCTTCTTGAGCCATGTTCCTCTGTTGCACACCTGAAATGTACACAGAATTAGTAAAGAACTCAGACACACTGCGGCCACACATCATCCACATTTGCTTTATGTGATTAAAAAGAAAACCTACATATACTCCTGCCCTAAATCGTTCTATACACCTGTCTCAAGACCTAGAGCTAAAGCAGAGAGAAAAAATAATGACCAAAAGATAAACACAAGGCGGTGTGTAGTGGCTTAGACACTGTAAATGACTCTCGGGATAGGACTTTTCAGAAGACTCCACCCCACCAGAACGTTAAAGGAAGACCCTTTAAGGCTAGTTCAGTTTGGACTCCTAATAATAAGAAATACGTTATATGTTTTGCTATGTGTTTTACTATTAATCACTAGGCATTAACACGTTTGCTCCAAGTTCACTGAGCATACTTGTATAATTTATCGTTGAAAGGCATTTTACAGAACACCAGTGCTGGTGAAGACTGGAAGAAACGGGCAGAATGTGGGGGAAATGAGGAACTGGCCTAAACTTTCTGGCAAACAATTCAGCAATTCACTGTAAGAACCTTCTAGAACTGCCTTCAGCACCAGTCACTCCCCATCAGGTCTTCAACAGAGCAGCCAGGGTAGAAGCAGAAAAAAGATCCACACACACAAGGGACGTGTGTCACAGCACTACTGATAATGTCAGTACATTTCAAATACTTGCTCAACATCAGGAGAGTGCATTTTTTCATTTTAGTAGACCTTCAGGCAGAGGGGAATGCTGGCAACGAATGAAAAGACACAACATGAAGTGAACGTATGATATGCTGTCAATTAGGACAAAACGAGAATCTACAACCCTCAAGAAGGACAGGAAAGAATGTATCCAAGGACGGCAAAGCTAATGGCACTTTCTGACTTGTACATTTTCCTAACTTTTAAAATCCTCTTAAATGAAGGTACAACTTGCTTAATTGGGAACGAAATATTTACTTAAGATGAAAGAGCGGCCGCGACGCAGAGTGGCTGTCTGGAAACCGCACACGGCGGGCCTCAAATCCCAGCAGACGGAAGGGCCCCACGCGCCGTTTCTCCTGCCGCGTGAGGCATCCTTTGGCGTAACACAAAGAAGGTAACACCAGACTATTTAAAAAAAAAAACAACCCCAACCCTCCCAGATGAAATGAAGGTCACTCCAAAATGGGGGTATGCATATTTAAAGACAAGTCCATGCAAAGACCGTAAGGGATAAGAACCACCAGAGGAGGACAAGGTTTTGCCCTGAGTTGCCCTGAGTCAATCAACAACGAGGGAAAGCACTCGCGGTTATTGGACAGTTTTTCTTCACCTGAACTGACTGTTGGGGGGGGGGGGGGCGTGGCGGTGTACTTAACGCAAATTCCTGAACCAAGAACAAAAATGCATTTGACAGGATTACAAAACAAGCCAGCAGATTTGGCATTTGCCTTTAAAAAGAACTATCCTAAAACTATGGGGAATACTTAAACCTTTAGCCTGGGAATACAATCTGGGATTTGGACAAACCTCTTTCTTACTCCATGCTGGCAAATCGCCCCGGAACCCAATCTTCTCTGCTCTGCTCTCTGCATGGGCTGCCTCCCTAGTTCTATAAATGTACATGCCAAACGAAACAAAGTAGCAAAGATGGGATAGAAAACTAATGGGAAACATCCCGTAGGGATCTGTGGCCTCTGCTCCCGCGGGACAGTGTGTCTGGTGCTGGCTGTCAGGGTAAGTGCTCTGGGTCATGCGTGGAGCCAGTAAGTGATGGAGCTTGACTCAATCAGCCAGTCTGGCTCTAAGCTCCTGTTCTGCATCAGTGTTTCCCAAAGTGTGCTTCTGTGGACCCCCAGGGAGGTCAGAACTGTTTGCACACTAACGTGAATAGCTATTGGCCCCTTCTCACCGTGCTGCCATGTGCAGCAATGGTCACATGCCAGGAGCCCTATCAAGCACCTGATCGGGAGAATGGCCCCAGTACTAGCTGTCTCCCACCGCACGACATTCTCACCGCAACACAACCAGCTTTATTAAATCTGGAGCCTGAACACACATCTTGGTAGTATTTTAGGTGACTCTGGAAGTCTGCAGAGAGCTCCTGCTGCATACACAAGTGTGAAGACAGCAGGAGCAGACACACTTGCCCAGCTGCTCAAGCTGCAGGCTGCCCCCGTCACTTTTTTCATGGCAGAGGTTTTTTATTCCAAGGAACTGGCCAAGTCTGGTTATTTAGACTTCTGTACAGAGAAGACATTTTCTCAAAAACGAACAAAGTGAGCCTGTCACTTTAAGAAAAATAACAGTATTTATTGCCAAGGACCACATTCAAGCAAAATAAATACATACATAAATAAAGCTTGACAAATATCTCCAATTTTTAGAGTTTCTGGTAAGATCAGTAATGATATTAACGACATGTGAGTGGCTGGTACTGTCAGAAAACAAGTATTTGCCAGTGACCAGTGTATGACGGCACAAAACGATTCATCAACAAAGGATCCATTCAAAGTGAAAGACCAGTGAATTTTAAAGTAATGGGACCAAAGTTTTATACACAGTTTGAGATTCTAGACTGCAACTAACCCTTAAGAGACTACAAACTGCCAAGTTTATCTGAAAAGGTTGTTACAACATTCCCTCTTTTTCTGCTGACCCATCTGCATGACGCCAGCTTTTCTTCTGTAACAGGTTAAATGCAGAGCCAACTACGAGAATCTCGCTGTTTGCAAAATGTCTAACGATGCCACTTTTCTCACTAAACCTTTTGATGGTAATGGCAGGGGTGAGGGAAGGGATGGTTATTTTTAATAAAATATTTTTAAAAATTAATATTTTGCAATTTTTCCTAGCTTTAATTTGTAATGGGATAAATATTACTAGATATAACACACAAATGAAAGTTCTTCAGGATCCCCAATAATTTCAGAGAATATGAAAGTCCAAAAATTTTGAAAATCCATTGCTGTAAATCATACATTCCCAATGTAGATGGTATCACTTCAAGGGGACAAACACCAATTCTTTGGGGGAAGGAGGCACACAAAATACCTCGCTCTTCATGTAGAAACACAGATATATGGAATACATAAATAGAAATACGGTATATCTGCAGAATTAAAATTTCATGGAGGTAGAGGCCAATTAGGAAAAAACCATTTTAAAAAGGCTTTTGTCAGGGAAGAAATTAAAAAAAGAGATTAAGAAACACTTGTTCTAAACCACCATTATCCTATGCTGCCTATTAAAGACACGACAGCGATACTGAGAAGGTGGGACTTGAAGGGACCGTCTTCAGTGGCACAGGTAAACCTTTCAGCATCTGGCTGGCAATCACAAGCACCCAGAAAAGGGAAATATTCTAGTTCTTTAAAAACATAATCACAGATTAGAATACGACCACCAAGCTTTTATCCACAATACCTGCTTCTGAGCAATAAAATTAAAAAACATACAGCACTAGCAATTTCCCCAAGCCACACAGCAGCAAATTAACAATGATTGTCATAAGCTGAGCTTTCTTATAAAAAAACAACCAACCATTATCTTAGCAGGTAAAAAGCACAAAGAATTCATAGGCTATTTAAAAAGAAGGAAAAAAGACAACCTTATTTATTCATCTTTAGTCCACAAAATGTACCTTCTTGTGAAGACACAAAAAAGAACCACCACCATAAAAGGGTACCTTAGTTTATCCCAATGTGCAGTGGCAAAGATGGAGGAGCTGTGGGAAAACCAAGTCCTGCCTGCCCACTGCTGCACCTTCATGGCAGGGAAGGACTCTGCGGGCCATCGGTCTGCACTCGGGAGGGAAAGAGGGGAGGACTCTGCGGGCCATCAGCTGGCACTCGGGAGGGAAGCAGGGAAGGGAATGAGAAGGCAGAACAACTCCTTCACTGCCACACTGTGGCATTATAAAGCTGCAAAGTCAAGGCAGTAAAGAATGAGATTCTCAGACATAAACAGAAAAAAGTTCACTAGCATGGTGTAATTTAAAAAAAACGAATGTCTATGAATTGCAGAAAATTCAGAAAATGTGGTTTCTGACTCTATTTGTAATCAGGACAAGAGCCAATTATGTTCTCTGCCCTAAGATGGTACTGAGCAGTTACTCAGAGCTGACTGTGGGCCAAGAACCATTTCTCCTGGTTTATTTCTCTCTGGAGACCTGTGCTGTTGGTCTTGGTGCTACTGGTGTCCCTGTTTCTAAAATGAGGAACTGATATTCAACGAGATTTAATAACTTGCCCAAGGTCACTTATCTAAGAAGCAGCTGGGTGTCTTTTCCTTTATCTCCTAAAACACAAAGAGAATGACTTTCAGAGTCCATCCTGCCCCTACTGAAGCTACAGCACTGTGAGCATTCATGAATTCTTATTCTTTTCATTTAAAGATAATTTAAATTTTCACTCACTTATTCGACCTCAAGATATTATGCAGCTTTAATTAGCTTAACCAAGCTCTTGAGGAAATTTGTTTTTCAAGTCTTTTTACCTAAGAAATTCTCACCGGCATAAAAAACTCAAGATCAAATATTTTAAGACTGTGAAGAAAGTTCATGACCAATTATTAAAATTCTGACAAAGGAACAGCAGTGAGTGGATATAACACAGACTCCATTATTAACTGCAAATATGCCTCCGTTAAACTTCCTTTCCTCTGTTTTGTGCCCTCGAGTTCGAGTCGCCGGGTTCCCATCATTTGCACTTTGAAACGTCCCGTACTCTCTCCTCCGTTCCGCGTTCTGACGCTCAACACTCCACAGCCAGTCTTTTCTTTCTGTTCTGCTGCCTCTCCTCCCAACACACTTCTTTACATTCTCCTAGAGTGCCCCGTTCTCATACTACTTCTGTTTTCGTTACTGTAGAATTGCTCCAGAAAGGAGCGCTAGACCTAGCCGGTGTGTCTTGGATATAATCTACCGCAAGCAACGCAGTTTCCCTAGAAAGTGAGCTGCGTGGGGTCAGGCTGGCACCCGTCTGACCCCCAGCTCTGCCGTGTTTCTCACCTGTCACAGCCTGGACGCTCTCCTACAC